GCGCAATGCTACTCGCGAAGTTAACATTGTTCCCATACGCTTGCGCCCTTAAAAAATTCAGACGTTGCGTGCGATAAATCGGTAGCAATGAAGTTAATAAACGAAGTCGCAAACCCCAAGGGACGGGATTGTCTTCTATGAAAAATATTCTTATCCGATGATGTTCGTCGACCTTTGTGGCAAACAGGAAAATCGTAATGTTTAACTTTGTCTCTTTTTTCTTTGTAACTCGCGAGCGCGTAACGTTCACGTGGAAGTAGCAGTTTCGATTACATTTACGATTAGGTGGAGCTTTTCTATTTGCTGAACCGCTACAAATACACGTGGTAGTAAACATAGCGTAAAAAAATTTCTTTCATACAAGGCGTCATATTTGAACTTCAACAACTTTCGAACCATACATGTTATGCATAACGTAGAAGACATTCCCTTCTCAGAAACAATGGAGGGGGTCGATGTGTCGCGTAGAAAAAGTGTTAATTAAGTGAACGTGATATGATGCAAGATTTTTATTTGCTGAAACATTATTGATAATATGTAACTTTGAAGAGGAAGAAATAATACTAATTCTTCTATGAGAAACGTATATACGAGAAGACTTCATGTTACATATATCACTCTACAAAATTTTTATGTTCTATAAATATCTATTAATCATGTTTACTCTTTTATATATACAGATGTTAATATTCCTCGAGATATACATACACTAAACTTCAATAAAGCTTTTACATTTACTGAATCAAATTTGGCTTGCAGCGATACCAGGTGAGAAATATCAAAATGTCCCTTTTCTACTTTTATTTTGTTTTGAGCTTGCGTTGTCCACTATATGACTGCGTTCATCCTGAGATAATTCCTGCTCTTCACGTCATGACATATCATATTATATTATATCTGCATACGATAAGAAAGATTGGAAAATATCAGTATATTCTGATTGATAAACTTTTAAAGCTTTATTGAAACTTAGTGTTCAGTACACGTCATAATTCTGTTGATTTCAAATATTCTAGGAACATGATATATTCACTCGGACATACTTCGAAGCATATTAAAGTACGCTCCAGATGTCTTAATAATCTAAAACATTTATTTAATTCTTCTTAATCGTTTTGATAATATTTCTTCGATTTTAGGTGAAAAATCATATATCTGGAAATATTTTCTTACATCACCAAATGTTTTTAACGATAACTCTATCATCTTGCCAGCGGAAATTTTTGGTACTTGATTAGACATAATCATCAGTAGAATGACACTGCGCATTTTCTTCTCCGGCAGATGATACCATTCGAGTTCTCGGGATTCAAGCGCTACTTTTTCGGCCTATTTTTGATATATTACAAAAAAAACAACAGTATTTGAATTTACAACAAGTTTTGATTTGTTGTTTAAAAGATTACGCAAGACAGTTTTCCTTTTTCTCTAAATGGTATGCGTTATCTTCGTTGTTGTAGTTCAAGGATCAAACACATGTAAAATATACCTGGTCGTTAAGTTGTTCTCCGGCATAGCAAAACAGAAACATGTGAGTTGTGACGTTTACAATGTTTAACACGTGAGACCCTATAATTCCAATATTTCCAGTATTCCAATCCTATAAGCACAGATATTGTCAAGTAACAATTATTAACAAGTTATGTGATGCAAAATGACTCCTTACTGTAAACTCTCTTTGTTAGTGTAATATGTGCATCAGTGTCAAAAATTTTAAATTTACTAATTGTATATCAATGTTACACTTATTAACGAATTTTTACCAAATCTCTGTGTAATTGTTTTTAATTTCTTATTATATACCCAAATTTTCCATCTGCTTCTTAGTAAGGTCAAAATAATTAACATATACGAACCATTAATATAAAATATAATAGGAGGCAGATAACTATAGTGTTCACCAATATTTCTATCAAACATATTTCCTGCACGGTATACTGTACCATCTGCAGAAAACTGAAATGTGATTATTAATCACATTACATTGTCACCATCTCAACCATGGTAAAAAAAAAAAACTTGAAATATGCAAGGATGACAAGTAATAATATAGCAAATAACTGAAATATATATTGTGAGATTTTTTTTTTTAATAAATACGCATTAAGTCAAGTGAGATACGTTCAAAAACGAGAAGTACGATAAATATGTACAGGTCGTAGACTCACTTGTGCACTCTTACTTGATGTTCGACTACCACAGCTATTTTTTTATCAACTTCCTCCTCCTTTTTCCACTGTTCTTGGACGAGATTCTTCATCAGACATATCAGAATCTTCATTTGACCGTTAGCATGCTCCGCGAAATGTGCTAAAAGGCCGTATGCGATTGTCGTGCTTAAAACTAGAAAAAATCCCGTTAGGGCCTGCGATATAAACACTATCTCGTAAAAAGGGCTAACTTGTACGTCGACGAATAAAAAATTAACCGGACAGGCCAGATGCCTGATCGTGACGTTCTGATCGTTGACCATCTTTCCTCGCGACAATGGTAAGATTATTCGTATCCAGATCGCTCCACCGGACATGAGGAGTGCACAGATCAAAATCAGGAGCCTAGCGTTCTTCGCGCATTTGAACATGATATTCCATGCGTCCATACCAAAGACATTCTCCCAATCCTCCTCGACGTGCTTCCAGCATCGTTTGATTTTAGCATTTTGAGAGAGGATGACATCGTATTGAACGGCCCCCATGCTGGCGTAGAGGAGAATAGCGCTCATTTGAAGTCGATCGCGCATTGATTCTTCCAGTATCCAATAAATGATGCCGGGTATAACCTCGGCGGCAAAAATGAAGTTGGAAATGAAGACAAAAAGGAGGTTGTATATTTTCCGAAATATGGGTCTCTTCCAATTCCTAGATGGCCAGATACCGATCGCGAGCATAAGATTACGGGTTGGTTGCATAACGTATAAGATATCGTCCTTGCTATGCACGTTTCGCAGCATTTCTTTATGGAAGCTGAACACGAACTCTTCTGCGATATTCACTATCTCCACTCGTTTATACAACCTACCGTGAGCATGGAAATTACGAACTAATCGTGGAAGCGCGGAACTGGCCTTAAAGTTAACTCCATTGCTTCCATACGCTTGCGCATTTAAAATATTCAGACGTTGCGTGCGTGAGATTAGTAACAATAAAGTTTGCAAACCCCGAAGAGGACGAGATTATATTCTGTAAAAACTATTCTTATCCGATGGTGTATATCGACCTTTGTGACATATAGGAAAATCGTAGTATTTTCCTTTGTCCCTTTCTCCTTTGCAATTCGCGATTGTAACGTTTACTTGAAAGTAACAATTTTAATTGCGTTAGACGAAACTCGTTTAATCGCTCAACTGCTATAAATGCACGTGGCAGTCAAAGTGGCGTAGAAAAATTTCTTTCATACGGGGAGTCACGGTTGAATAACTTTCAAATCATACTATGACATGCACATTTTTTTAGTTTCTCATCTTATATCCAAATTTTCGATCTGCTTTTCATTAAAATGAAGTTCAAAATTGGCCGCGAAGTCAACTTCATCGCTCGCATATGCTTGCGCGTTTTAAAGATTCAAGTACTGTGCGGGTAGGATCGAGAATAGTAAAGTTTGGAAACAAAGTTATAAAGCTCGAAGGATGAGCTTGTTTTTCATGAAAAGTATTATTTTATCCACTGGTGTTCGCCGAACTTTTATGGCAAACAGGAAAGTCGTAGTGTTTAACTTCGTCCTTTTCTGTTTTGTAACTCACGGCGTAACTTTAAGGTAAGTAATAGCTTTGATTACATTAAACAGAATATTTTTTTTTTCTCCACCGCTATAAATGTACATGGCAAGGAATTGGCGTAGAAAGATTCTATTTATACTGAGAGCTTTGTAATTAAATAATTTTCGACAAGGATGATCAATAAAATAATTAAATAACGTTCGAACCGTACGTTGTGCGGAATATTTTGTCCTAAGAGAAATAATTAAAGAACGATAACATTTTTCTTAATACCTTTGCTGCTACTTCTGCTACTTTTATTTTAATGCTGAATATATAATATTTTTACCATTTAATTTCTATGTGACTATCTATATAATAAGATATATGATTCAACATGCAATATTTGTTGATATCATATTCAATCAAAGGAAATTCCGAAGAATATTCAAATAAGTCACAGACATTTTAACAACCTAAAATTTAACACATACGTTTGTTAATGTATCATTCTCATAATAATTAGTATTTTATAAACAATTTATTTCTCACTTTACTTATACTGATTTCTTTTCTTTTAAGTGCAAACCATCACTTACATCTCCGAAGGTCTTGAAAGAAAGATCAAAGAACTTTCCGGCTTTGAGTTTCTTAGGTGTATTCGACATGGCGATAATTAAAATCAATGATCGCGCTGTTTCATCCGGAAGCTGATACCAGGCCAATGTAGATGCCGTTAACGCTAACTTTTCTTCCTAATTTTATGAATGTATGTTACATGCGTAAAAAAAGACACAGAGGAAAAGTGACCTTTGGTATATTTCAATATTTGTCAAACATAACGTTGTCGTTGTTAGGTAACGTTGTAGCTTCTGCAATGAAACGTAACGGCAAACGTACCTCTACGGAAAGTTGTTCGCCGATGAAACAAAAAATAAAAATGTTAAATGCGAAGGATGCAAGCAGAATTACATATGAGCACGTAATTAAAAAATTCCGATTGTCCCACTCCTATAAGATCCAAATATATGCTTTTTATACATCAAACAACATAATAGAATAGTATATGTTTCCAACGTGAAAAATTGCGTTTTTATTACGTAATATATTAAAACGCACCATAATAATATTATAAAATAACAGGCACAGAACTATCGTACATCCCACTATTTCTATCAGGCTAGTATGTTGCAACGTTTCTTGCAACAATTGTAAAAAACTGAAAAGGAACGTACGCGAGAGCGCATAAGGATATACATATTAAAAACTGATTCGAGCTACTGAGTAAATATACAAGAAAGTCTACTTACTCCCGTGTCCTGATTTGATGTTCCACTGTCAGGGCCAATCTTTTGCCGAGGTTTTTGACATCCCGTTCGTTCACCAAGTTGTTCATTGACGCCATCAGTATTTCCAGCTGTGCGCAGATGTGCATAGCGAATAGCGCGGCTAGACTGCAGATCGCTATCGTGATGGTGTATTTTACGAATCCGGAAAAGAACTGTATGAAAAAGACGATTTCATAAGCGGGACTCGCCTGGACGTCGAAAAATACGAAGTAAGCCGGACACGGCAGATGCCTGATCGTGAGGTTCTGAGCGGTGACGATCTTCTTCTTGCTCAGCGGCATGACCGTACGGAAAAATAAACCGGACAGGTACATAAATGCGGCGCAAAGCATAACCATGCGTCTGCCGATTTTGGCTTTGTTCACCATCGAATCACGAGCGTCCATGTCAGCGACGTTTCGCCAATCATTATCCACTCGCGCCAAACAACATTTTATTTGATTATTGCTGAGCATTAAATCGATATATTTGACAATCGACACGAACGTGACTATCATTGGTCCTACGAGCTTTATTTTGATACGAACGTCTTTCTCTTCGATGAACACGTAAAGAATCGTCGGAACAAAATCGCAAAAGAGGAGGAAATAAAAGACGAGGATCAGCGAGACTCTTTTGAGATTCTCGAGGTACGGGAAATTCATTTTCGTATACGGCCAGATGCCCAACAGACGAAAAAAGAAACGATTTAATTCTAAGGTGTACTTTATGTCGTTCTTGTAATTTCCATTAGAAAATATTTTCGTGTGGATCGTGTCATACATCGTGATTCTATGGTCGTCAAACGTAGAAATAGAATGTACTCGACAAGTGTGTAATAGCGAAACGCGTGCCTCCACATCACTGATCGCGGAGAGCGAACTTGGTATGCGCTTGCGTCCTCAGCGATTGAAATGCCACTTCAAACAAATAATAAATAACGTGCATTTAAAATTCTTGAGAGGGAAGCACACGCAAGTTTACTTCTGTTCTCTTGGCTAAAGGAACTTTTTTCCCTTTGTCAGGAATAGTGCAGGCCGATGTTCCGTTAAAAGTCTGAACAATCAAGGAAACGTACAACGGAAATTTACGTCTATATTAAGAGATGGATGTGCGCGCATGTGTAATCTGTACAAAATAAGATAAAATATAAAAAAGAATAAAAATCTTAAGAGTAGTAGAGCAATTTTCGTCCATCAAATATTAATATCTTTTTTCAGTCGGTTCACATAAGTCTTTTCTAATATTAACGAAGGTACGTTGTGTAACATGTTTATATTTTTCGGTAAAATTATTATATCTGTATAATTTGCATGTTAGAACTACTATGCAAACAATTCCACGTTTCTAATATCTACGTGTGCTTACCTGAGAAACTTGAACGTTACATAAAGGATAGTCAGTGTGGTAGTAGTAGAAGTAGAAAACTTAGAGATCGTTGTTGCACATATTATTATACGTTATAATGTAATTTCCATTTCTGGAAACGATATTAAAACGATGCTTAATTTTCTCCCAAAAGAAGAATTATATATAGAACAGACGATCGAAAGACACACTGAAAGAAACTTCGTTTACGCGTCGGGCCCTGCAAATTTGCTTTTATCGGAACATTATGGAATATTATGGAATTTACTATGAAAAAGTTATATTAGAAAAGCTACATTATAAAAATAGTATTTTCATTTTTAATATAAGAAAAATGGTTATTTATACTCTATGTATGTGCTATACAAATGATCAGATTTTATGTACACACTTTTATATATGTATTTTATAAATGAATATATATATATAGATAATACATATACACAACACATTTCTGCAACTCGTTATTTAACATAGCAATTATTTCACTCTATGCAATATGTTAGCCTCTAATTAATCTTATCGCGATTTCTAGAAATATCTAACAAATATTTAATAACTATATTTTCATAATTTATTTATTTGATAATTACTGTTCACTCGGTAACCGTGCAAAGAATGTTGAAATACACGACAACTGATTTAATTACCTAAAAATATTTAATATAAATATTTCACACGAATATTCACTTCCCTTTATTATTAATAAATGACACGTCCGCTTCAAAATTAATCATATTTCGAACAATGCGACTCTTTATGAATCAATATATACTTCTCTTACATCACCAAAGGTTTTGAAAGAAAGGACGATAAATTTTCCTGCTGTAATCTTTAAAGGAATATGCGATATAATTATTATTAACATCATGTCACGCGCTTTCCTGTCTGGAAGACGGTACCACCCTAGCATATGCGTTCTCCAAGCTGCTTCCTCTGCCTGTTATAATAAAATGGCGAAAATAGACAATATTTATTTTTTATTAATGCAACTTTAGCTTCTGCGTTTTGTCTAAATATTATTTCATTCTATACAGAGTGTTTGTCGCTAAGTGTCTCATTCGTCATACGCTCGTAGGTCAATGTGAATAAAAATGTCCACCAACATTTCACAAGCAACTGCGTAAAATTCTAAATAATTATTAACTCACAATTTTGTATCGTTATTTGTAAGACGATACAGAATTTTTTTGTTTATATTAATCTAAACTACAAATATATGACGGATGAGACATTTTACAGACACGCTATATTATATATAAACATATACATGTATTTTCTAATAGTGTGCAAATAATTTATTTTAAAAGAACATGTGGTTCTTCAGGAATTATAATAAAATCGGATACGTATAGATATATGCACGCGATTCACTTACTGTCGCTGTGATACGTTCATCGGCATAACAGAGAATAAAAATATTAGTCGCGTCAGAAACCAGAGCAATGAGAAAAGTACACATATTCGCGGTATTACCATCTCGCCACTCCTGTGTGGGTTTAACATGTATTCAGTTATCATATTCGCAAAATTACTGGTAATTGAATTTTGGAATTTTATCGTATTAATGTATATGTGATAGTGTATATGATGTGCATAATGAAATGGAAAATTTTATTTACCGTGACACGATCTGAACGTACTGCCTACCATGAGAATACAGTATCCTACAAGACACATCATTACGGTGCAACACAATATCTCAAACAAACTACTGTTTTGCAACGAGTCTTCTACCAGATACAGGAAACTGAAAGCAACGTCATCGTTAATACGCAACAGGTAAGAAGCGGGAGAGAGAGAAAGATAAAGAGAGAATGGGAGAATAAAAAAGAAAGATACGAACTCGACAAAACAAGTGTCTCACTTTCGTATTCTTATTTGGCGCTCAACGACTATCGACAACATTTTCTCCACGTTTTTCTCCGACGAACAAGTCCGCTCGTCGACAAGCTCCTTCATCAACATCATCAAGATTTTCATCTGTGCACACGCGTGCATCACGAGAAGCGCAGCAAGCCCGTATATCACGATCGTCACGGAGTACATGATGAATCCGCCGCAAAACTGCAGCAGGGTCATAATCTCGTAAGCGGGGCTGCGCTGTTCGTCAAATAAAATGAAATAACTCGCGAATGCCAATGGCCGGAACGTGACATTGTCGTTGGTAAACAGTTTTCCCTTCGTTAACGGCACAATTGTGTGGAAGGACAGACCAGCACAATATAGCATGGCGCAACAGACCGTGAACATATTCCTGCCTATCTTCGCATTTTCCAGCATGACGTCCCTAGCGTTTAATATCGCGACGAATTTCCAGTCGTCTTTTACATGTCTCAAGCAAATCCTGATCTCGCCCTCGTAGATAATCAAAGTGCTGTATTTGGCGAGAGCGATGAACGAGTAGATGAGAGGGGCGATCAGCGTCAGTTTGGCATGCGGCTGTTCTTCGGTGTAGAACAGGCAATAGAGAAAACCAGGAACGACTATGACGCACACGAAGGCGCAGCAAATAGTTATGAGAAATATCTTAAATATCATTTCAACAACGGACAGGTCTCCCTCGAGTAAAGGCCAGACGCCGAGGATTCGCAGGAGAAACTGACTCTGCCTCATGACATATTCTATGTCTTGATCGTAATTCTTATTCGTATATGCCCGCGAAAGAAATGTCTCCATAACGAATGAAGAGAAAAGATAAAAGTTTCGACGATGAACGAGAAACGCGTTCCCTCGGTGTGAAATTCTCGACGACAGATCGAAAGATGCCGACGATACTCTATATGTGCCTCAAGTGCTTACAAGTCGCGAGCTCGCTCGCTATTGATCGCTAATAAACACCGAGATCGACTGATGCGAGCACGCGAAATGTAAGCATCCACAGCGCCTGCGCATTTCGAACATTTATATTTCAAATTTTCACGAGTGAAAGGAAACTTGAGCAACTGCTAACCTGCACTCTATTCTTGTTCTAAATTTGAACTTTGATGTGAGGGTTGACTTTCTAACAGACGAGAAGTTTCATCATCGGGGGAGAGACTAAAACAGACTTCGTATATTCAAAGCAACTTTCAAGTAACCTCAGTTTTGTTGCATCGTGGAGTCCCACATTGTAATAACTTGTTTTACTCGGTACCTGTAAATCTGATACCAAATTTGATAATCAGCTACGAATACTTTTTCATGAAAGATAAACAGAATTTCATTCACTTATCTCGTAAGAAGTTCATTTTGACAAGAAATTGTAGAATGAAACATAAATATTGATGATGTGATATACGTTGATAATTAATGTATATGATATTACTATTACATATATATATCTCATATCCCCCGTTCGTTTGTGTCAAGTTCTCAATAACAAAAATGCATTCAATTGGTTACATTTCGAAGTACATTAAAATACGCCGCAGCTGTTTTGATAATCTGAAAAAACAAAGAAATAACTTACATATAAATTTGCATATTAATCCCAGCTTTATACGTCCCGCTTCAGTGGACTGCTGAACATTTTTCGTTTTTCTAGTTTTCACATGGCACAATACATTAAGAGCTTAAAAAACATCAATTAGAACAAAAATGACAAAACGACAAAGTCAAGTAGTCTTACAAATTGAAATGTAGCGAATGGACGGCTGAGAAATAAGTGTGCAAAGCTATGATTAATACGACACAACTTAATGAAAACTCATAAAGTTTCAAACATAAAGCGATATTGCATTGGTCTAATTAGCTTAAAATCACGTATGCAGATACTTCACGGAAAAAAGGGAAAGTTACTTAAAAATGCTATAAGTTTGGAAGGCATAAACAAAAATCTATAAAACATATCACTTTCTCTTTTCAGTTTAATGACATAGCGACCATCGTTCGTTCTTGAGTACAAATAAACGATTGTAATAACATTCGAATTAGTTTCTTTACCTCGCCGAACGTCCTGACTGAAAGGACCAAGAGTTTGCCAACAGTGATCTTAATCGGCATGTTAGACATAATCATCACTAAAACGATCCCACGTACTTTCTTATCCGGAAGACGATACCACTCGAGTTCGCATGATGTAACCGCTACCTTCTCCGCCTGTCGTAATGAATAGAGATCTGAGCTTCGTAAACTTTCACAACTGGCCATCTTAGACGAGTAGATGCATTAATGTACATATCCAATAAGCACATTTATGTTATACGCATAAATATAGTTGCATGTGCGTGATCAATGAAACGACTTCACGATTTCAACTATGTGAAAATATACCTGCGTCATAAGCTGTTCTCCAGTATAACAGAACATGAAAATATTTATTACCCCGGCCATAAGGGAAATAAAATAAGAGGTCATCGCTACTGAATTACTATTCTCCCATTCCTACAGAAAAATAATATAACATCTTTATGTACTAAATGT